TGAAAGTTTGATCTTCATTAAGACGACTGCACCTCCCCATATCAACGATCGATACGAAGGTAGGGGACGAGATCACGGGTGATTTTGGGGCCTTCCCTCCCTGTTATTCATTGAAGGGTTTTTGGCATTCATCCAAAAAGCCTCAAGAAGTTTTCGCGCTGGTGTTTTAGTCTTCTGTTCAAGGTTATTGACTTTTAGTTCAAAATCGCCTCCGCTGTGCTTTCGTATCCTATGCGTGCCTAGTGGGGTACTTTGTCTTAGTTTTCGTTTGCCATCTAGGTGTTCTTTTATACAGATACACAAATCTCTGCCCGTTTCGCCAATACATTCATCTCCGCAAATACTACAAGAGATCACGTATATCGTACCTGCACGTATGCAGTCACTGTTCCTGCCATATGGGCAAATGACGCAATTCTGTGTTTTACATAGACTGTCGAATAGGCGGTTGCCAACTGACGATGAAGAGTAGCCAAGGTTTCTAGATAGTTACCGCGAGACAGATTAAAATAAAATCTTTATGTGGATAACGTTTCAGTATCTTCGTGTTCTTCAAAGGTGGATTGATCGGTGTCGATCGCCTACAACTTTCCCTTTTCCCGACGTGGCTCTTCGTGATTGCATCAAGCCGAAACTACTGAAGCATCGCTGTAATGAATCGCTGTGTTATGTATATAATCGAGCGATGCTTCAATGGATTCAACTCGATGCGATCACGAAGAAGGGCAAACTGTGGTCAATCCACTTCCATCCGTCTCGCTCTGAAGAAGAAGAAGATACCGAGCCGTTAGCTGAATACGGCTTTTTATCAATTTCGTGTTGGCTTCTTAGTCAGAGAATACGAGTACACTAGTCTTCATGGAGTGAGAAAAAGTCCGTTTTTGAAGTAAAGTTGCTGAATATTAGCTTTATTCTTATTGCCTACTAGAGTTTTTCACAGCAGGGTATCATGTGAGATACAACCACAATAATGCTGAGATATTTGCAAAACTCCAGACGACAGTTGTTTGCAGTGGGAATCGAACATGTTATTACTCTTTTCGGGATAACTCATTCACCAGTGCATAATGCGGGTCCTTCGTTTCGCCTTTCTTTTTTTTTGTAGTGGGTGAAGTAATTTCTACCACGTAATGAGCGCACCAGATGGAAACGTGAGCAGCTCCAAATTCTGTTTCCGCTATTGAAATGCTACTAATAAAACGATTTCTCAGTACTTCATCATAATATCTGGTTTCACAGAAGAAATTGAACGAAGGAATATGACTAAAAGTACCGTAATTTGATGACGATTTTATTGATTTCCTACAGAAAAGGCGTTTCATAACAACATGTGCTCCCGGCTTCTCGTCAGAATGAACGCAAAGAAGCGAAGCGGCAGAGTTAGAGAAGGAGGACTCTTCAATTTCAAATATCATTTACAATTTGCACCGTCCACTCCGTGGTGAGGCATCCAATGACGTCTTCCTGGCTCCGTGCTTAGTGACCCTCAGTAGTTGTGTCTTCGTTTCCTCAATCGCGATTATGACACAATCTAATAATAAAACTGTGGGAATATGTAAACGTCGGAGAATTTGCTTGTTACAGAAACCACTTCTTCACACTAAAGGAATCGAATAGTTCGATTAATTCCTGCTTAATTGTTCACATTAGTACGTTTTGGTTTTTGGCAGAAATCCAACTGCTAACATTGTGTGTAGTGGAACTCCGTCAAATAAAGGGCTACCAAAGAGTTCTATGGCAAATGTTCCAGCTGTGAACAGAAGCACTTGGACATGATAGAGTGCAACGTTGCTGACTGGCCAACAATCTTGGGAAAGGCATTATGTACAACAAGGACGCCTCCTCCCATTCACCTTACGCCTTTTAAGCGCATCTGGACCACCATAAAGACTCGCAATTCGCGACTATCTAACAAACTCTCAAAGATTTGTTTTATCTGTCATTGAGAGATTCACCTTCGAGAAGACGGGACATACAGAGAGTTCTAGCAGGAACAGAGCGACGGAAACGCAGCAAATTCCTCAGCAACACGTACACTGGAAGAATTAAAGATGTGGCCTGACGTCACACATATTTTACGTCCACCTCCTCTTCTTCTCATTTTGGAGCCAAATATGCTGTTTAAAAATAATCTTTACAAAAAATCGAGAAGCGAGACCTTTGAATAACGTAAAGTGGTCTTCCATCGTTTTCAAGTAGCGACCAGGTTTCTAACGCATTCATTAGGCAGGAGGAATTATGGAGTCGACAAGTTGGGTAGGGTGTCCGGTGTTCCTTGTTCTCCTCACTACGTCCTCGATGCTCTTGTTAGCTCTTAACGCCGCTCTCTGCTCCTTGCTTAACTCTGGAACTAAGTTTTTCATCTTCTTGATTCCTCAACCTACCTGGGCACAGCTAGAGCATTCGGAGATGTTTATCCTACTAAGCTTTAATTGTGCATAGGAGACGAATCCATTACTCATAAACACCGATTTTGCTAGATTTAGTGGACGACCAATCTTACTACAAGCTTTATCAAAGTCAACAAGCATTCGTTCCGCTGGGTTAATGGTTGGTATTATAAAAACGATGTCACCAGCAAAACGAGGATGGTGTAATTGCCGGGTATCTATTTTAACTCCCACACCGTAACAGCCTGCGTATTTATGAGGGCTAGCAAAAGGTTTTGCATGGGCTTCAAAAGCTAAACGCAGTGAAATAAACGGATCTTGTTTCCCTGACCACGATACAGCAAGACGATTGTGGTAGGACTGCGAAAATTTCAGGGCTATTCTCGATCGCCGAATTTGCAAAGCACCAAAGTACCGGTCTGTACTTACGCCTAAAGACCAGACGTGCATTTTTAGCAGTGACAACATCGAATAACAGAATTTCTGATGCTAACTTTTGAAGACTTAAAATGGTGCTGAATGGATAAAGGAGGGAGGCATTCCGCCACAGATGAAAATCATTTATTTGTAATTGTGTGATAAAAATAAAAGAAATAAAACCTCGTGAAGAGATCCACTGCCGCGCTTTCCGTTGAGCTGTCGAATATTGCTCGACTTATGCGATCTTTCTGGGTTGTCGTTTGATAGTCGCCACAAATAGCGCTACTCATCAATGTAGGGCTGCCGTCGAGTTGTGGCAATGACTGGCCCTGTCCATACTGACCGGAGTTTTTAGCTACTGACGAAGGCAACCACTACTAATTAGTGAGCGTGACCCTTATGCATCATCTCCAACATGGTTCTTGTATTCATATTAGCCTATCTTTTTATTAACGAATTGTAGTTAGGATATTTTTTTCTTGTCCTAACAAGCGGAACATATGTGCTTGAGTTGTTCATCTCCGTCGCAGTTTTCAAATACACGGCATGACCAAGCTATGGGACTGACTTTCCAAGGAATTATTGACAACGATGAGACTTAGAGTATATAAAATTGGCTGAATTCAACGTCTTGAAACTTTCTTAGCTTTTCAGACGACATCATACTTTTTAGGAGTTTTTTCTTAGAAGTAGTTTTTAGGCATTTGTTTCTACTAAGAAGAACTGCTCAGCGGTGACTTCGGTTGGTTGCAAGTACTGTACTAGTTTCAATTCAGTCGCAGAGCAAAGGTAGTGTAGTGCAATAGAATTTATTTTAGAACAGCTTCGATTACACTTCAGAGCAGCTACGAACTAAGCAGCAGAAAGAACGTTACTGCGATATCAAAACGGAGGTCCCAACTAGAACAATCTGTGCTTTCAGACAATGAGATGCGTTTCATTTCGCCTTTACCGAGAGGCCGTTCGTTTCCTATAAATGGATTTCTCACTGCTTTTTGATTCCTACAGGCAATCGAGGAAGAAATAGCTTGTCACGTGTGAAATTTTTCGATTAATGGAAGAGGAAATCATGTCATGAAGCATCGTTCAGAAAAATTTTAAGAAAACTAGGCATTCGTGATGTGCTAAAAGTTAAATTTGACAAACGATTTACTTGACAAAAATCTATTTGTTGCACTTCATCTCTCAACCTCTCACAGTGACAGAAACTCCGGCGAAGTTTGATCCGAATGGGCCCGCTCTTAGGGCACCAGCTACCCTGTTCATCACGCCCTGCCACATTTGGATTGACCAATTTGCCATAATGACATTGGTAGTCTAAACAATCGGCATACATTAGGATTAATATCGCAGTAATAACAAAACTGAAGTTGTTCTAACCGAGACTGTTCCAGAAATGGTCAAGTGTTGTGGTGGCACAGGCCCAATATCCATAAATGGGTTCATGAACGTACACATTCCGCCAATCATTGCGTTGCACAAACTTGCCACTGTATTACCGATAATAATGCAGTTTCCGTTCATCATAACTGTAACAAATTTCTCAGGTAGCTGTTCCTTCCTAATGAAGTACTGGACAGACGAAGAACCGTAAAGTGGATTCTCTTACTGTACGCTTTTTTTAAACTAGGTATGACCTCGCAGTTCTCTGTAATCCAAGAATGCAATAGAATATTTCGGAAGCAACTATGCATGAGTAAAATAAAGCAAAAAGCTTGGAGGAAGTGTCCCATTTATTACAATGACGAGAGGCTTAGATATCCATTAAGCTCGGATTATTTCGCGTTAGAATATGTGGCAAAGTGCTTCCATTACTACGACGGCTCCTCTATTCTGAACTGCTTTTCCAAGGAAGCTAAGAAGCATCGTTTATTGGAAGACTGAAGTAATCTTTGCGTGGATTCCGTCATGAAGCTCGGTAAAGTCTTGTATAGCCAAAACACTTCCCGCAAGGAATTGATTCCAAGCAATCCGAGTGCTTCGCACATTTGAATGATCAACTTTAGAATGCGGTAGTACTTCAAATGATTTTCAAGCGTCCTCCAATTCCTACTTAATAAAAACACGTTAATATGAATAGACAGCGGTCTTTCCTCAAGCAGTGGAAATTTGTGGTTACGCATGGTAAACTGTCATAAATTTTAAGAGCGCGTCTTTCGGTGGTTTCAAACTAACAAGTAGTATTAAACACTAACCCATAATTTGATCATTCATAGCTGGATTGACGAGCACATTATCGCACTGAAGTGGAGCGTAATTGGTTTGCACATTAAGTTGGGCCAAAATGGCAGATGTCACATCAGGAAAGAGGCCAGCACGACGACCTTGTTCCTCCAGTACATCAATCACCTAAAGAAGCTGACTTTGAAGTGATTTGCATTAGCTGTGCGATTAAATACGAAGGAAGTGCTGTAAAAGCAAATTGACTTTTTTTTTTTCTATAAAACTCACTGCTTGCATCAGCAGACGTTGTACGAACGACCGAACTGCCACGCCGCTTCTTAAAATTCCTGGAAGCTGGGATGCGACATTATCTCGAGATGTCCAAATCATGTTAACAGGCAGGGTAAATCCATTAACGGTAAAGCTAACATTCCTTGCTGTAAAATAAAAACAATTCAGGTGGTGAACGCGTTACTCCCCGGAAAGGACAATAGCGCGTTCGTTTACCACCATAGACACCTGCGGTCCAGAGTTTTGCAAATATCTTAGCAACGTTGTAATTCAGTACTCAGTTTAGGCCAGGGTTCCGCGGTTCCTCATTTTTTCTGATTGTTCTGTTTACACACTGGAGTGATTACTGGTATGTAGGTAGTATCGCTGTTGTGAAACTGCTTCTATGTCTGCTACCCGGGACATAAAAAGCGGCATTCTTCTAAGAGGCAGTTAGTTATTTTTTTTTATTTTTCTCCCATTTGTTCACTCATTCCGCTACGTAGAAAAGCACTGCATAACTTATAGGAGACGGAGTAATAGTGAGAGAAAGGAGATACTGAGTTTCCCATTTTGTTCGACAGTGGAGGTTGAGCTTATAAATTTTTTATTGCGAAGAAAATCCAAAGTTTGCTTTAAGAACTGACGGATTAGAAGTTCTGTTTTATAATAGCAGGTACGACAAGCCCGCCCTAAATGTTAACGCGAGTACATGGTTTATGAACACTTTCACCCAATGAGGTTTTCTGGAGAAGGCTAAAAATTTCGACCACTTTACAGTTTTCTAAGGCAACATATTTAGTAGAGACCGAAGGCGAGGTGTGTATCTTTCAGGAACAACGGCAAATTGTAAAAATTTCACAGGCTTCTCTTTCATTGATTTTTCACAGACAGGCTTTCACAGACGCATTGATGAGGGCTTTGTTCTGTGATGTCAAGAACACGTGCTTCCATTCAGCATCAACCATATAGATAAGACTGGTTCGTATGAAACAGCATTTGTTTTACTCATTACCTTGACCAGACGGCAGTTGTCCGCATCCCAACGCCGGTGAGACTGCAAAAATTAGACATATCAAAAATGCCAGCTCCACCGGGATTTTTGAGCCTGTCATGCTTTAGCAGAAGTCTAAAATGTTAGCAATTCTTGGATGAAGAAAGCTGAAAAGGGTTCGTTTGTTGAGAGCAATTAGGAAGGACTGGAAGAATTTCGCTTCAATGCCATTCGATATTCGCTTACGGGGCATTAAATATCGTTTCTCATAACGCTTAATTAAAATTCGAAAAAAAGCCATTAAGTCGTAAGGAAGACAGGAAAAAACAACGGTGCTTTCAAGACTCGATCATAAGCGACTGAATGTCAATGTCCTTTTGTGTACTGTAAAGAAGGCGAAAACTAATCACACTCTCCAAATCGTCACTGACCACGATAGTTTGAAATTATGCAAGTGGCTGTTTTTGGAAATGAGCTTTTGCAATATACGGTGATAACAAGTCCAGAAGAAATCGGACAACCTTATTCAGAAAGCTATGCGTATTCGCTCCTAAATTTTCCTCACCACTGTTGGAAAGGTCTAAGGTGTGGACGATTTTGAGTGTGACAAAAGTTTCGTTTGCAGCCAAAGACAAATAGTAAAATCTGTGCATGAACGTATCTAAGCGTTTTGTGCTAAATAAGTCAGAACCAATCACAATAAGGAACTTTTCAATAGAAATGTTGCACTTCACGCTGCCTCTTGGCAGAGGATTCCCATGCCATCTGGAAAGAAAGAGTTTTGCAAACTTGTATAGCTTTATTATTGGTAAGAAGGTGCTCTAAAGCGCTGAGAAATATATTTATATTGGAAAAAAAACTTTCATGTTGCTCATAATAGCAGCACCAGCGTACAGCACAGCTCCTTACAACTAGTAATATCTGTGGGAGGACTTAAAGGGAGGTGATGTAAGCTCTTCATGAAGGCGTGACTTTAAGAAGAATACAAAGCCTTTTCAAGAACGCTGGATGAAAGGCATTATGGGTTACAGTACTTTCATTTTTTATTTTGACTCTTTATACCTCAAAACAGTCAAAGAGTGTTTTAACAACTCGATAAGTAATTGTATTCGTCGTCATACCAGAAGAAACACATTCTGTAAGAACGGATATGTTCTTTCAAAATTAACGCCAAGTAACGATTTTTGAAACAATAACTTCAAAATTCAGATTCTATCTCATTCTAGGAAGCGTCGGAATCACAGTTTCGCCTTTGCTGATATTCACTTTTTCCGTTTAGCACCCAGTGGAATAGAAACTTTGTCAACTCCTACTTAGTGCTTAATGTTGGTATTCACGAAGTGACTTCCATGTTTTGGATACTATGACGTTAGTTATGAAGCGCACATGTGGCACAGTGGTCGGAGGAGCCCTTCAATACGGCTGGGATCGATTTCTGCGCTCAAGGCCCGCAAAACCCTCCACCCCCTCCAGGGTCGGCAAATTGATCCCTGTCTTGTGTGGGAGGATGGCAGCAGTGGTTCGATATATCAGTAAGCCACTACGAGTCATGGTAAGAGCTAAATATGCATCCATTCATCTCCAACTAGCTTAGTCAAGCCGAATGCATGGCGCATTTCCTAAGGATTTGTCAACGCCGAGAGCTTCTACCTTTTTTGAATTTATGCCGTGAATAGAGCTTATTTTTGACCACTGACGCGGTCTGAGGCTATAGGTTACCATTGCTCACCTGTGGGTGATATTTAATGCTCTGTCACTACATTGTTCCTTGAAAGCCTTGACTGGATTGTTGCCCACAACAACTGGTGTGGAGAACTCCGCAGAATACGTGATATGTTGTTTCAAAAAAGAGTTTATGGCGTGAATTCGGGATCGAATGTTTTTAAGTTTTTTCAGTATTCCCGGTAGCTCTAGAAAGCTTGCAAAAAGAGCTTTTTACCGCATCGGTAAAATTTCCGTGGTTATCTCGACATTAAAAATCTCGACGGCGCTGAAAGCCGACTAAGCCTTGGATGCATCATTTGTCAGAACAGCGTTTCAAGAGCACCACTCGAACTTTTTACTTGGGGTCACTTTAATATGTGAGACATCGTCTCGGCTCGAGTATTTCCACTTATACCTTTTTATTTTCTGCCCACTATAATTTCGCGGCAGGGTACTAAGCGAAATACGACCACAACGTTGCTGAGATATTTGCAAAACTCTGGACAGCAGGTGTCTATGGTGGGGAACGAACGCGCTATTGTCCTTTCCGGGGAGTGACGCGTTCACCACCACACCATGCGGGTCCTTTGTTTCGCCTGTCTCTCAGCTATTTCTATCGATCTTTGCCACAGCAATCACCCGCCTGCGGGATTGATTTGCCGATTTGGGCGCGTTCGTTCCCCACCATAGACACCTGCGGTCCAGAGTTTTGCAAATATCTCAGCAACGTTGTGGTTGTATTTCCACTTAGTTAGCTACGCATTGTTAATAACCGTGGAGGGATGGAAGCCTCTTGCGCAGCAAAGGTAGGTCGGAAAAGAAACAACACCGAACTCAACCCAGCCTTGAGTGTGGAAAGTTGAAAACTAACTCTGGTGGGCTTTCTTCTGAATAATCAATCAGTCTTTTATTGCAGTTGATACAATACATTTGTCAGTTTGACGCGCTATAAAGATGTCATTTTTTAAACATGGCGAAGTTGAAAGCATAGCTCCAGCATCCCATAAGGGTACTGGATAGGAACCAGAAAAACAAAAATACTATTTTTCAAGCAAAGATGCGGAAACATCAGCCGAATTAAAGTTTTCAAACCATCCTCGTTTAGCTCAGTAATCCAGAAATTTGCTAAAAATGCTTTGTTTTCACTGCCGACACGCTACTTATGAAACGATTTTCCGGCGTGCTCTTCATAAGAAAATGTGCTTCCTTGTATGGAAATAATTCAGCGAAAAAATGTTACGATGAGCATCGCAGTTCGTTGACATAATTTTTGCATGCCCATGGGAAAGTCATTCTATAACTATACTTGATCCTCAATTTGCTGCAGAAACTATCTCGAAGTAGCGTACTTCTCCCCACCATGTGAAGAAGAGGAGTTGACAAAAATTTTTTATTGGCACTAGACTTCACCTTCAACTCTCTCAGTGTATGCAGTGCTGATGTGGAGTCCGCTGTGTTTCCGTTGCTCCGTTCTTGGTAGCACTTTGTGTGTGTGTCTCCGTTTTCTCGAACATGATTGTGATGAAATCTCTTAGCGACAACAAAAACAAATTTCTGACGTTTTCCTGCACAGTCGTGACGTAGGAGTGGTACTAGAGGTTCAACTCCGATCAGAAGGTGTAACGTAAACAGGAAGAGGCCCCTTGTTGAACTCAGTGCCCACCCTTTCCAAGATAGTTGGCCAGTCAGCAACTAGAACGTTGGACTCTATCATGTCCAAGTGTTTCTGATCACAGTTGGAACATTTGCAACAGAACTCTTAGGTAGCTGTCTATTTGACAGAATTCCACTACACACAATGTTAGTAGTTGAATTTCTGCCCAAAACCAAAAACAAATGCGTTCGAAATAAAAAAAATACCAGTTAAGCCGGAATTAATTGAACTTGCAAGCGAGCAATCCCGCTAGTGTGAAAAAATGGTTGAAAATCTTCCACATTTACGGCTATTTCATAGTTTTTATTATTTGACTGTACCATAACCACGAATGAGGAAGCAAAGGCACATCTACAGAATGTTACGAAGCACTAAGCTACGAACACGTCACTGGACACTTCAGCACTGAGTGGCCGTATAAATTCAAAATGATGTCTAAAATTAAAAACTTCCGCTTATCCAACTATGCCGCTTCACATGTTTGCACTTATTCTAACAGAAAATCGGAAGCACTTCATGTTAGGAAATGCCTGTTCTATGAGGGCACAATTAGAGCGCCATCAAATTACGGTACTCTTAGTCACACTTCTTCGTTCACTTCCACCTGTGAAAGCGGATATTGTGATGAAATGCTGACAAATTGTTTCATTGGCAGCGTCTTACCATCGAAGGCAAAATTTGCCGTTGTTCACGTTTCCATCTGATGCTACACCTACATAGTAGTTCACCGACTTCAGAAAAACAGATGAGCGAAACGAAGGACCCGCATGGTGTGCTGGTGAACGGATTAGCCACCGGAAAGTGTAGTGTGTTTATTTCTCACCGCAGTGAACTGCCGTTTGGAGATTTGCAAACATCTCGCAAATAAATCAAATAAGAGCGATGCTTCGGTGTTTTCCGTTCGATGCAATCATGAACAGCCACATCGGAAGAAGGAAGAACTGTGGACTATCGATTCGGATCAATCCAGCTTTGAAGAAGACGAAGACGCTGAAACGTTACCCAAATAAAATTTTTTAAATCAGTATCGTGATAGGTTTCCACAAATCTTTTCTTTGTTGAAATACTTCTAAAAACAATTATTTGAAAGAAACTTTCACTACTATTAGGCCAAGTGCTGTGTCTGCATCTGAACAAGTTCATTATTTCGGCTGTGCGTCCACTACTGGCTCTAACTAACTTTTACAAAATACTGACTGCCGCAAACCGATCCACATGGTCGCAAACTAATGCTGTGAGTCTTCTGGTTTTTCCAAAACTTGGTTAGTAGAGCTTTCAACCAGATGAGTAAAGTGCTGAACACCTGCTTCAATGAAGATCACTTCTGCAGGTGTTCTGTTCTGGATTTTGGGCTTAGGTGATCCAGGTCCGAACTAAGAGATTGTGCACCATCACTTCTATCAATAGTAAGCACGCAGCTGATCGACTAAAATTTTGTCCAAAAAAATTGAGGAATAAATTCACGAAATGATCATAATCGAAAAATGTTTTTGCCGCTACCTAATGAGAACCAGATTTTTCTTTTGCTTTCGAAATGGTAGTTGAAGTGATTCGAGTATGAGGAGATTTTGCCTTATTTTGTGTTTTTCCTATCTGGCATCTCAAACGACTATGGCACCAATGAAGCGGCTCGCACACAATTTCTGCAATACAGGCTTTTAATGAGTCCATTCAATGTCGAACGACAAGAAAATTTTCCAAATAAAGTAACATTTCCGGTAACGGTGCAATGTCCAGCGGTTTTCCTATAGTAGCCACCTTACCTTTAATGCTGAGCATAAAAATGTTTTCGCATGCCACCAACTAGAAGTGGAAAGAACGGATCGACGTCGTGCAACGTAGAAAAGGTTGGAAAAAACAGTTTAAAGAAATCTGGCTTCTGGAAATGTCGAACTTCCCAACAATGATGATTTCTTTCTTTTGATGAAGAGAATATTAGTTTAGCTGAGTTGAGTTTACAATACGCTAACAACCACAATTAAGCAGAGATATTTGCAAAACTCAGTGCCGCAGGTATCTGTGGTGGGGAACGAACGCACTATTATCCTTTCCACAGAGTAACGCGTTCACCACTACACAATGCGGATGCTTCGTTTCGCCTGTCTCTCAGCTAGTTCTATCGATCTTTTGCCATCAGGAATCACCCGTCAGCGGGATTGATCTGGGATGCCCAAATCGGCATTGAACCCAGTTAGGCTGAGGCTATAGTTGAAATTCACAATGTTGACTTTTTGTTTACTGCCTTATTGTTTAGTAAACAAAAAGTCGACATTGTGAATACGCTAGCATGCTTATTGAATGTCTGTAAAAAAAAATTGGACGACTAAATTACTCACAACTTTTCAGGATAGATCTAAATTTAAGCTTCCTTTCTAAATGGGAGTGGAAATGTCGTCCTACCGGCTCTCTCATTCGAAATCCGACAATCCATTTAGTCGGTGAAGTGCCGAGCAAAACCTGGTCCGGACTGGACAGGTTCTGAACGCCTGAAGAACCTCCGCCTGTCTTCGTAAACACACCGGCTCGGCTCCTCACACGTTACGTATCTGAATCTGAAGGTCCCTACTCAATGGAAGACCAGTAAAACAGTGCTAATGCTCGGAAAAGGTGATCTCCACGACATTGGCACCTATCGTCTAATTTCCTTGCGGTCTGTCTTCTACAAACTCTTCACTCGAGTCGTCCAGAACAGAAACGCAGGAAACTTGAAAAACGAGAGCCGTGTGAGCAAGCGGGTTTGGAAAAAAATTCATTTTAATCAAATCCACACGATAACAAGTCTCACTGAAGCATGGAGAGAGTACAACGCCGCTCTGCCTCACTTTCATCCATTTAAAAAACTTTCGCGTCAATTGAGGCAGAAGCAATCTTGGAAGCTTTGGAGATCCGGAGTGTCTCCACTCATCATATGAAGAGCCTTTGTGACCTGCTTAACGAGTTCACAGCCAAAATATCACAATTTTATAACAACGTTAGCGTCGACGTAAAAAGAGGGTTAGACAGCCAACGCCTTCTCGCCAAAATAATTTACCGCCACCCCCGAAAACGTCGTGCGAACACTGGAATGGGACAAAATGGGAGCGAAAATCAATTGTCGGAGACTGAACCATTTTTGCCTTGCTGATGACGTCGTTCTCATAATATCAAGCGTTGCCAAGGCGAAACGAATGCTTGCTGACCTGTACAGTGCCTGTGGAAAGATTGGTCTTTGTCTAAATTTCGCAAAAACGAGTGTCAAAAGGATCGGTTTCGTATAGTCCATTCACGCTGTACAGAATTAATGTGTCCGAATGTCCCATCTCCTTCTGTCTAGGTCGGGAATGAAACATGAATAACGTCTTAGCCTAACACTTCTACAGGAGAAAACGAGCGTCTTGGAAAGCTTTCAAGAGCATCGAGGACGTAGTGAAGAGAGCGAAGATCACCTAAGGCCGCGCCCAGCTTTTTGACGCCACGATTCTTACTCTCTTGACATATGTGTCAGAAACTTCGGCGCTACGTGAAGAGAATGAAGGTACCCACAGCGTTGCTGAACGCGCATTCCAAAAGGCGATGATAGAAGTATCCCATACCACAAAAGTTGGTGAAAGGGTAAGAAGTCCGACAATGTTAGCGATCAAAATCAAAGACATCGTTCTATACGCCAAATTGTCGAATAAATGATGGGGTGGTCACACAATGAATCTTAAACAAACTGGATAAACGGAAGCCGTTAGCGATAGGATTTCCTGAGCTGTCAAACGCTAAGCGGGAATACCACTGGTCAAATAGACTTCTTCATGAAAACCCTAGAAGGAAGAAACACTGCTCAACTACTTCCTAAGGCGAGCGAGACGGAATGGATTACACTTGCCGCGACAATGAAGAATGGAAGAGTTACTGACGCCCACTCGAGTCACGATACGTTAAGCAGGATAACAAGCGATATGTGCCAGATTTAGTCGACGTGGTCATATTACGCCAAAATCAGTGGTTGCCACTAACTTCATAGCCAATTTTCTGAAGCAAAAACAGTAGTAGTAAATGATGCCACAGCATACAAGCTTTTCGTGTTGTTAGAAAGTTGGAAGGTTTGCTAAAAGGGTGAAAATCAAGAACTGTGAGCAGCGAATCTGAGCTGTGCTGGCGACGACCTTACGTGTCACTATTTTATTATCTCAGGCCTGTCACCCCATTTTATTGCAATGTTAAGCCTACATTGCTTTAAAACATTCTAGCAAACGCACTCAATGGAAAGAGCAGATAAATAATGTTTATTGTTTGCCGTTGATTGCACAACTATCACGTCAATAATAAGACTGTTTCTCAAAGCATAAACAAAAAGGCGGTCTGCCGTTTCACACTCCTCTACTGGTTTAATATTTCTTCACTCGCAGACAAAGTGCTGTGGAGATGACGCTGACAATGAGGATAAAGACGAGTCCAGCGACAAGAACTGACATTACTTGCAACGACATGCAAACGCCATCTGACGGAAGCGTCATCATCTGGGCGTCAGACTGAAGACGAGCAGCTTGAGGTAGAGCTGGTAGCTAAAGGAATGTCATCATGAAAAAGAATGTTGCTTTTTTGTAGCGCCACATAATTTTTCTTTTCGTAACTTTGATAACCATAGGATATCCTCAATTTATCTTCCATTTCCCAGCGATTCTCGTGAAGAAGATGGTAGGACTCGAATTTCACAACTCGAAAAAAATTTCTAGAGCTGCTAATAGTAAGTAAGAGCTTCGGATCATTAGTCATTAGAAGAAAATGGAATGAGAGCGCGCACACTTTCGGATGGACTGACCTCTCCGTCGATCACGTCGAGAGCGGTGATCTCGGTGCGGACATCGAGGACGTTTTCGAGAGCTTCCAGCGATCTCTTCTTTAGCACACGGAAGAATTGCGGTTGTTGGGCTTGTTTCACAGCTCCGAACCCTTTCGGCTCAGCGCATTGCGGTCGTGCACACTCTGTGTTGGGTTCCTGAACGGAATGGAATTTTTCGTTAGGTTTTCTTCCTCACAGCTAATAACAACAATGGCACATTAAATGGTGTTTTTACGTAGAAGCAACAGAGATTTTTCTAGAGTGGGAATTTTAGTGTGATATCTATAACCTTGATGGTGATGCTGATTTGACACTGGTAGAACAGCTGACTGCGATCGGCGTATTTGTAGACGTGAGCTTCCTAAAAACGAAGTGGACGCTTTCATTCGTCACTCCTCTTTCGATAATGTTCTTTGCCATATCGGAAAAAAAATTTGCACGCAAATGAAATTGTTCAGTTTTCTGGATTATTTTTGAAAAACGTTCCAATCAATGCTAGAGGGAATAGAAATTTCTGTTTGTTCAATCTAACACCTGAACTTTGCCTGAGACTCACTTGTCCGGCCATCAAGTCCGTGGGGTATTCCAAATTGTTCAACAGGAACTTGTCCAGCGCGCAGCCATTTTCGTCTAGGATCTGGAAAAAAAAGGTGGTCGAAGTCGAATCTCACAAGTATCCCTTCCAGAAGAGTGGTTAACGATACTGCCCACCACGAGGCAGGATGCTGATGCGACACCCTCCCAACGCTCACTTCCTATCCACTTGCGCAAGCCTGACCTCGACATTCCAAGATTGCAAAGATTGCAATACTCGACGAACATTTTACGTCATTCATGAAAAAGGCGAAATGCTCAAGCAGCAGCCGAAACAACACGCGAAGTCCTATACGTCCTATACCTACTTATTAAAACACATAAGTTGGTATCACCTGATGATCATGCGTCAACCAATCCGCCATCATTTAAGGTTAGACCAATCATCAGCTGTGTAGACGGGCCAACGGATAGAATAACCTGGTTTTTAAGCCTGATACTCACCCAGTTGCTTAACCACATTCCAGCTCACCTCACAAACACCCAAATGTTCCTAGAACGTCTACGTAACGCGTCTCCTAATAACGCGTACGTGATGAAGACTTTCGACGTTACCGCACTGTACACCAACGTATCGAATGACTCCGCAATGCAAGCCATCTTCGAACTTCTTGTTGAACAT